GGGTTTTCTTGTAATTTCTCCTACAAATTATTTTAGCATGAACTACATTGACAAATCCACATTTCAACTGTTTCACTATTCAATCACAACAATGTGCTTCATTATTTCTTTCCTCAAGTTATGGTCTAGAAACTTACACACTGCTGAAAGAAAGCCATGAAGTTTTGGGCTGCCTGAATCACTTTCTTCCTATTCTGAAATAAAGGCGCTACATGTAATAAACTAAACTTAGCATCTTCCCTTGTCAGGGAGATCAGTACTATCTATCAGCTTCCCACATTCAGGACATAGTATTTCATTTGCTCATTAGTTTAATCAAGTGCTTGCACGCTCTAAACTGCTATATTTACATGCATCCATTTTAAATAAATATTTATTTTAAATTCATTAAGGTTTTCACTAATGCTTACAAATTGCAGGGGACTCCCTAAATCTCAGCCTAATTGCACATCCAGACCATTATGAACCACTTCAATACAGCCAACCATTTACTGAAATGAATCCAATAAATTCTATTAAGCTTCCTTTCAATAATCATCAGATGAGACCACAAAGGTATTTAAAATTGAAGCTGGCTCTTAATTTAACTGTGATATTCTTTCTTTTGCAATAAGGATATTTAATTTTCTTCGAATTTTAGACAACAGATTTTTAATGGTGCTATATTTTGTTTATAAATTGCACAAAGTCCTCCAAGGATGCTTGACAAATTATTACATTCAATCTGAACGTAAAACTGATGAATAAGTTTTCAGTACGTATGAAACAACCATCCATGTTAAGCCAATTCCTTCCTAGGATTCCTTCTGTAAACGCAAAACCTCCTTCGACAACTCTCCTTTCTATGACACTCATAATGATATTTACAAATAGGAGCACATAAAATGGATTTTAACTTAAAGCTGGGAAAGGAAAGGATTCCTTGGGCTTGTGCTTTTACGTACACATATTGTATTAATTGACATATAATGCACAAGACACCTCCCAGACTGTAAAACTGCAGTTTCTTCTGACTGAATTGATAGTCCGCCAGAAGAAAACCTGAAAAGTAAGATCTAGACAAAGACAGCATTATCACAGGGGAGAAGAGTGAAGACACCTGCTTCTATTTTTCTTTCCCTTCCAAAACCAGGTTTGTCCAAAGCAAGTGTTGTATCATATATCCTCTTCTCTGAAAATATGTACTTGTGTGCTTTCTGTTCAAGAACACCCAGGTACAGAAGCCTCAAATCCCAGATTTCAGACATCACAGCATTTGGCACAAGCTCTTTCCAGTTCTCCATTTCAACTGCTGCTGCCTCAGTTCATGTGTCAATCCTCCTTCACTCGTTTCAATAAACCACCACCACACAAGCACAGCTTTGCTAAATCCAAGCATTGAGGAAAAAGGTTTGCCTTTTCAGGATACCTAAGTCAAGTATAGACACACACTGACATAGCACTACTGGCCATATTCAAAATGCTGTTAGAATAAACACCATGCAATGAGCCAGGCAAAATACAGCAGTAGTCATAACATCCCTTTTATACTTCCATTGTTTACTTTTCTCCTTACATAAAGGCTCGTTTTTCCTTAGAGAGATGTTATAAAATTCAAGCTGCCTCAATTTCTAATAGACTTATTTCAAAGTTACTTAGTTCAATTTCAGAATCTGGTCTTCTGCTCCATCTATCTGGTAGGAGCAGATCTGCAGGGAGAAAAAACTAACCATATGCATTCCAGCATTTTTATTGATGTTATAACTTTGAGCTAGATCCAGTTCCTAGGACTGAATGCCTGTTTGTAGCTGGTATGCATTATGGGCAACCTTGGAGCTCATCTGGTGTAGTTTCATCTAAAAGGAATGCAGTTCCTGTTTTCAAACTACCTCACGATGCCATACAAAAAAACAGCACACGAGGAGAACCAGATTTACTTTGAAGGTACCCTTTGTAAAATAGTTTCAACCTATTTAATATGTGGCAGGATAGTTATTTCCTGTGCAGTGTATTGAATCAAGCTCCTTAAAAGAAATCAAAGAATATCTATATCTAGATGACCTGTGGTATTAATCTTAAAAAGTGTGAAACATATTCATAGTATTCAGTGATATTTTCATCATGGCCACTTAACCCTCTTAAAAATGTGGAAGTGTTTACAACCCTCACCGTCATCCTGAATTTTTTAACCATTACAGAAATTAATGGTTTGGAAAGCTCCTCTGCTCACTTTGTCTCAGCCTGAGACAATCCAAGACACAGCGATCCTGATATCAAAGAGAAATTTGACAGAATCATAGAATGGTTTGGGTTGGAAAGGACCTTAAACATCATCTAGTCCTAACACCACCTGCCATAGGCAGGGACGGAATTTGCTGGCTGTAAACACATGTTCAGCAGAAGGTAACATCTTTCTATAAACTATCCTTTTCAACTTCTTTAACAAGTCAAATAGTGCAAGAACCACCACTTTTGTCTCAGCCAAATCCACATTTCTTTGTTATCGGTGCCTAACAAAGAAAAAGGGAGCAAATAGGTAACGTGCTTTGGGTTTTTTTCCTGAGTTACACCCACAGCCTGTACCAGCAGCATCAACACATTCTGCTTTAGAATATCCAGAAAGCTTAAGCAGTAATGGGACAGTGAAATATGATCTAGTACTCAAAGGGAATCACTCCTCAAGATAAGCTTCAGCCTTCATTATGTTACCTGAATATTCATCTGTTTTTTTTCTGTATGTACTTCTGAGATCAAATATTTCAGAAATGTTTAACATTATTGAACATTATTAGCATTATTAAAATACTCTTAACAAAAAGTACATATAACAAGTATACTTTTTTAAATATACTTTTTGTTAAAAAATAAACTTCTTATATTACTTTATTTCCATGTCTAGAAGTTTCTATTACGGCTTTACTGTGTATTTGTACAACTAAAAGTTAACTGCAAGTATCTACAAGATCCTTCTTCCACAAAATGTATCTAACAATGAGGTGATCCTAATTTTTACTCAAAAAAAATTATTCTTTCCCAAAGAACGGTGTTCTCTTTTCTCAGAATACTTTTAAAATGGAATTTTTGTTTTCAAAGATGCTCCTTCCCCAACATCCACAAGATGTCACCATTGTAAAGGAAAGAAACCCCACGTGCTGAAAAAAGAAATAGTTTATGTTCTGAACCATGGATTTTATTTACTGTACATCTTAATGCAGTTCAACGATTTTATTTTTGTTTAATACAGGGATTAAATATACCTAGAAAAACCCAAACCCTAGAATTCTCCTCAAAAACAGAGAAATCAAGACCCTACTTCAGCCACTTGGTTTGAATTCCCAAACACACAAAAAACTTAGCAGACATCAAGAGCAGTAAGATAAGTAAAACCATTTCTGGTTCCAGCATTGCAAATAACCTACATAGAAGATACTGTCAGCTTAGGAACATTAAAGTATATAGATGCAAATAGATAAATAGATGACTAGAACAGAGAAGCAAGAGAGGTTCAGGAAAGTTTAGTACTGTTTAGTATTTAATAAGAAAAAACATTTACATATCCAAGCCAGCTCAGCTAACACAAAGTTTAAAAATTAATCAAAATCTATGTAGGTTCAGTGAAAAATCTGAGCAAAAACAAAGCTCTAATCCTACTCACTGCAGAAAAGAACAGGAAGCTATTATGCACAGAAATGGTAGATGAAAGGAAGGCACTAACAGTGAAAGTTAGACTTTTAATTTCATTTTGTGCTCAAAGCTTCAAATGTTAACTGAAGGTTCAGCCAAAACAGCATTTCCAAAGATTTGTGATTTTATACACAGGGATCTGAAACTGCAAGGCCCCAGTGCACAAATAAAAGGGTGATATTCTTGCTTCAAGTTTTATTCACAGCTTCCTTACAGTGATTAAGCTTTCAGGATCTCTTTTTGTGTGCTACAACCATGGAAGGGTCTAAAGGACTCAGCAACAAGTCTGCACTGTTTCCATTCAATGACCATATTGCTAACCCAGCTCCTTTCTGCGGGTGCACTGACTGCCTTTTAATGAATAACTTCATTAATGAAGAAGAGGAATGTATTAAATCTCATGGTGTCGTTGGTCTAATAGGTGTGACAGCTAATAGGAGTAAAAAAGTCATTTCCTTTGACATGCAAAAAGAAACAGCAATTAAACCAAAGCAGAGGCAGGAAGTAATGTGAAGAGGGCACATCAGCTAAGTAATCTGGAGGTACTTATACATTTCTTGCAAGAGAATAATGCCAAATTCAATCCACAGCAAGCTAATCCAATTGAGACTTCCAATAGGATTGGTAAAGGATAAAAAGAAAAAATTGACAAACACGTAGCATAGTTATTGAAAGTGAATTACACATTTAGGATCTGAAATAATTGCTCTTTAGTAAGAAAATTATTTATGGTCCTGAGAGTAAAAATACAGCACATGCTTACAGTACACCTGTTACTACTCTACAGTATGCATCCACACAGACTTTCTTGCACCATCTCAACAAAACAGCTTACCTTCATTTTTCATTGAGAGGATTTACAATATGCACAATGAAGGCAGCGCATACTTACTTCAGGAAACACTAAAAATATGATGTGATGATGCGAAATTCAGGAAGGAGAGGGAAGAAAATCAAATCTATCTAGGCATTAAAGAAATTAATAGAATAAGAAACTAGGCTATGGAGGAACTTGGCCTTCAGAAGTGCCCACAACTCTTGAGTAATTACTGCTATTAATATTTCAAATTAATGAGGCAAAAAGAAGAATGCCCACCACAAGGAACTTTAGGTCAGGTATTTCCACATTATCTTCAGACAGAAAACATCAAAGCTATGAGCCTTTTATGGCATTAAAGTACACACACCTTGGTCCGTGTGAAAATTTCCTCCAGACATTATTTGTTCCTTTATGTTTATTCTTTAAAGATGCTAATATAGATAGGCATTATAGATAGGATGCGTTAAAAGCAGTCCTTTTGTAAATATTAACTTGATTCCAAATAACAAAACCTTACCTTGCCAGCTGTCATTGCAAACACACAGCTTCTCGCCTGTCAAATCACAGTAGCCATGATCTGGACTGCCACAGTTGGCTTTACAATATGGAATATCACAGGCTTCTCCTTTCCAATACTTGTCACACTCACAGTATACCCGGCTTGGAACAGACACACTGGTTGTGCACTTCCCATGTTCTGAGCAGTTATTAGGACATGAATTAATTCTGAAAACAAACAATACATAAAATAAGGGAAATGAAAAGCCAAGAGTTCATTACAGTGGTTTGATCTGACAGTATTCCAACTGTACTTGTTAGACAAAGTATTTTCTTCCTGAAAAATTTCTGTGTACTGATAAAATACAAGTTTAATGATGATTTTACAGGCACATGAGCTGAAAAGGTATTCATCCAGGCTTACACACGCAGTCTGTGATGCAGTCAAGATCACAAACACTTTGTACTTTAACAAGGAGTATTGACATTAAGCAGAAGGACAGATCACCACCTATTTTTTCCTGTGTTCCAGTATCAGCTTTCTAGTCAGTCCCTTTAAATGTTTATTATTTCTAAGAACATCCACCCTACAAAACACTGAGATCACAGGCAACTGGATTGCAAAGCTATGGAAGCTGGTTCCAGAAATGCAGGCAATTCCTTGGAGATGAGGAAGGATTGAAAGACACTGAAGTATGCAGGTCCAATAGTTTCCATGATCAGAATCTCGGGCAGTATGCGCCTGATGGAGTCCAAAAAAGATTTGAAACCTTTCTGATGACTCAACAAAGGGCTGGGTTGAAACACAGAATAAACTCTTAGTACAAACGCCTGCTGGTAACACAGACTCCTCCCTGTAGATGCAAGAGTTGGATTCTGTTCATAGCATTCCTTGCTCTTACTGAAGAAAGAAACTGAAATAGTGGGGAATTGTTCAAGGCTGGACTTCGGCCAAATGTAGTAGTTGTGGTTGGAGGCTCAGGAGACATGCTTTCATTTTCTGAAGACTCACACCTCAGAGGGCAGATTCTGCTATATTACCAAACAAGAAGATTTCATATCTGAACTACAAACGTCCTGGGGCTTTGCCTATTAACACATGGCATTAAAACCATTGATGACACTAACTTCTGTATACCACAGCTCTGAGGAACCTCTTCTCCTGACTCTATAGGGAGAGAGTTCTGCAGGAAAGTGAACAGTTGAGTCTTCCCAATAACAGATACATCAATTTAAAAGTAGACACATTCCCACTCCAACAGGCTCATTAAGCATTCAAACACAAATAAAAACTGGATGAGCAGAGTTAAAAGCAGGTTGCCTGACTTAAAGGAATACAAAATTTACCAGGGAATTCCAGAGCAACTATTGTTTGCAACTGGCTTGGCATTTCAGACACAGATGTTGTGCTTCTGTCTTCCCCAAAATGAAGGGATATAAGCGGCCCACCAAGATAAAAGTCAGAAACTGCTTTGTGGTTACCAAACCAAGAAAGAAAGGGAAACAGAAGCACAGTGCAACAGATCGGCAACAGAAAAAAGTTAATGCAAGCATAAAACACAACTGCAGGAACTTCTATGTTTATGTACCATAAAGCTTTATTATAAAGAGCTACTGATGGCTCATTAAAAAACAGGAAAAAAAAAGCACATATTTTAAAAGTATCCGTTGCAATAGAAGAAACAGAGGAACCAAGTACATAAAATTTCCTGACTTATGTGTTTCATGGAATTAAAAACTGGCAGGTTTTTTATTTAGCTTAAACCTTCAAAAATATTAGGTAATAATATGTAGCATTCACCACTTCATCAAATCATGAAAGAATGCACAGCACATCTACTCATTTCTTAAGAATGCCATGTCATATTGCCATTTGCTCCCAAGACAAACACAAAGAAATGCAATAAAAGCTTCAGGGATCACTGAAAAATGTATCTAATTACAGTAGTCTGCCAGGTGACTGCATTTTACTGACGTCAATTGACAAAAATACCCTGTCTTCTGGACTGCTATTTCCAATGCAATACATGTAAAGTGAGGTTTCCCAAACTCTGAGAGCTATTTATTAACTGGTACAAGGGAGGCAAACCACTGCAAGTTACAGAAACAATCTCTCCATAGACAATTTAACAAAGACTTCTGCCAAGAGTAAAGCTATGGTAAAAAGCACAAAGAGGAATTTTAAACTAATAAAGAATATGACAAAAATATTACATATATTTCCACATTTGAAGTGCAGTGCTGGCCACTACATCCTAAAAACTGGCATTTCAGAATGTGAAGGAATTGAAAAAAAGGAACAAGAGTATCTTCAACCATAGGAAAAAATATCATGTGAAGAAACAGGTCCAACAGGGCCCAGTAATCCCTTCTTGAAGTAAAGCATCCAGTATAAAGAGACATTGCATTATTTATCACAAGCATGCCCCAAATGAGACAGAAATTGCAATCAACAGCTGGTGCATATAAGAAGGAAAAGGCTAAGGTCCACTGGATGCATCTTTAGAGATGCTGACACAGTAAAGCAGACAGGAGGAAAACAAGCATGACTTCATGTCTTTACCATCATAGTAACTAGAAGACAGGCAGTGTAAGAACCATGAAGGCAGAATTCAGACTAAGATGAACAATAGGAGGGGAAAGCACCCAAGAATTAGAGAAGAAATGGAATAAAACCATTGTGGCTTACACAAAAATAAAAGTAGGACCTCAGTGAAGGTTTCAAAAGCCACAGAAGTACATCCAGCAATCAAAATCAAGGAACAGATGATTCTAGCTCAAGAGAAGCAAACTGACATGACAGCACATATAATCTCCTTTCTATTCCATACAACTACATGTGTCGGGTAAATACTGGAAGGGATACATTCTAGTTCCATATGGCATAGGAAAAACAGTCTTGGAATGGCCACGTGGCTTTACTCAGAACAATATATTTTATCTCATTTTCTTTTCTTTATAACTGGTACTGTAATTACAACTTATTGCAACCCTAGCTCTGTATTTCTAAAGCCAGCAAATATAGCTCTTACGCAATTAATATATCAATAAACACCTTTGATGGGTTGGTCATTCTCACAGAATCATAGAATCACAGAATAGTTAGGGTTGGAAAGGACCTTAAGATCATCCAGTTCCAACCCCCCTGCCACAGGGAGGGACACCTCACACTAAACCATCTCACCCAAAGCTCTGTCCAACCTGGCCTTGAACACTGCCAAGGATGAAGCATTCACAACTTCCCTGGGGAACCCATTCCAGTGCCTCACCACCCTTACAGGAAAGAATTTATTCCTTATATCCAGTCTAAACTTCCCCTGTTTAAGTGTTAATCCGTTACCCCTTGTCCTATCACTACAGTCCCTAATGAAGAGTCCCTCCCCAGCATCCCTATAGGCCCCCTTCAGATACTGGAAGGCTGCTATGAGGTCTCCACGCAGCCTTCTCTTCTCCAGGCTGAACAGCCCAAACTTTCTCAGCCTGTCTTCATATGAGATGCTCCATTCACCTGATCATAGCATTCTCCTGAAAGAAATGACAGGCTAAATACTAAAGTAATGATTTATTAAAAAAAAAAAAAAAACTTACGAGTAAAAAATGTTAAATCCAGTTAAGTTATAAGCAGCATCACTGAAGAAATGTAGCAATGCATAGCCAGATGTAGTAACTACTTCAGGAACAGTTTCATTTCCACGCACTTCAGGAACTATTAGACCACTGGAAGAGAAAATGAGAAACATGTTTTTAATCAGCCTTCAGCTGGTAGGGGAGGAAGAGGAGTCACCTATTCTACTATCATATTCATAGAATCATAGAATTGTTAGGGTTGGAAAGGACCTTAAGATCATCCAGTTCCAACCCCCCTGCCATGCCCCTGCCTCCATACCATACTGACAAACTTATTTAAAAAAAAATAGTACAAAATGTGTATAAAATCTAAAATCCAAACAAACTCCTCCTTCACGCAGTAATGCGAAATTTCACATCTGATGGTGCATGCACTGTCAATTTGATTTTAAAAACTTATTTTAACTTTGGAAATATTTATATCCTTCAGACAGATGCTTAACACTGACTGTCTTTCAGCACGAGTTCTATTTCCACATAACAGAATCATAGAATGGTCAGGGCTGGAAAGGACCTTAAGATTATTTCCAACTCCCTGTCACATGCCATAGTCCAGTTATTTCTGACTGCCTGTCCAAAACCATTAACACTCCATGCATCGCCAGCATTAAGTACAAGCCAAATAATGGATTTATGCTATGATGACCTAACCAAAAAGAGCAGTGCTTTGCAATTTATTATAATATACCTTTACACAAATGCTTCCACAACATTAAGAAAGCAAGCTATTTAACAAACTGACAGCTTTTAATGATAGGCTTTTTTCTCTGCAAACTAAGAATGTCCATACATGACTATCTGGAATAAAAGACTAACAAACACACTCACCTAAATACAGCTATTAAAGGTGCATATATTGAATCTCCATCATATACATACATATGGTCCCAACTACATTCTGTGGCAAAGTGATTAAATCTTAATCTTAGTATTGCATTTGGGCTGTAAAAGGAAGGGAAAAAGAACACACAACATTGATGTACAACATTATTTGCAGAAGTATTGAACACACAGGATAAAAAACTTACAGCAAAATGAATCATGCAGCATAACCCTATGAAAACGTTTTGAGAACTAAACATTTCAAAGACAGCAAGAATTTCACTTTATCTTAAAAGACTTAACAGAAATAATTAATATAAATAATAACTTCAGTCCCAAGTGTAATAAGCCCTAAACTTAAGATACTAAAGTTTATCAGATGTTGTCAGTATTCAGAACAACTACAATATCCCATTTTAATATACTAGCTTTACTTTAAAGTGTCAGGACTATGATACTTAAACACATACACATCCTCACTGCAGTATTATATTAGTTATTGAAGATAAAATTCAACACACATTTAAAATAGCAAGCAATATTAGAGCAAGGTATTTCTTTCTCACTGCCTGCTTGTCCCCCTGACACCTGGGAATCATATTTCATCAGGTTTTGGCAGAAATCCAGATGAGGTCTGTAAGAATTCTGAAAGAGGCATTCTCTCATATGACAAAATTAGCAGACTCATAAATATATTCCATCTAACATAACAATTATTACCTTTTATTTCATTTTAATTATTTTTTTACCCCCTACTGACAGACTCAAGTACAGTTTGTAAAACACTTTCTTGTGTGTGAGAGAGATCATCTGGGGAGCACTCTTGTTCCATTTTAAGAGAGATTATCTTATATATATGTGGCTTCCTTGTGTGCTGACATTATGCACTATGTTACTGGCTTGCATTACCCTTACACATACTGTGAAGCACATTGCTTCCATCAGCACCCACTCTACCTCCTGCAAAGTGGAGGCACAGAATGAAGACCAACTTCAAAGCAGAGCTTGCATACAGTCCTGAGGCATGTTTTCACTTCAGCATAGTACAGTATAAATACTCCTGAGACAGAAGTCTGGCTATGTCAAAAAGATATTCAGCTATAGCCTGGTCACCTACATACTGAAGTTTCTACTTAAATGATTTTGCAAACTACCCGCAATATCATTACTGTCGTGTTTAAATTACTATCTGCATATAAGCAGAAGAAAACTATATCAGGTAGGTCATTACTGGACTGCAGAGACAGAGCAGACATCTAAGGTAGTTGAGACTATGACAGTATGGAAATACAAAAGGCAGCTATCCGCTTCTAGAACATGTAGAATTCAGACCTTGCTAAATTCTTCAGTGAAATCCTCACACCATGGTTTGGGGGGGAAAAAAGGTTCCACTAAACTTTAACAAAATTGTGCTTTTAATGGTTTAGTTACACCAGTGTATGTGTCTCATTATTCCTTTGTGCGTGTCTGTGTGTTTGTGTTGTATAAACTGAAAAATAGGCAACAGACATGAAACATCTCAACTGTATAAACTGAGGGCACAATATAATTTTAAAACTAAGTACAGGAGGAAAACTAGAATGGAAAAAGAAAATACTTTATAAAAGCACTAACTTTTGAGCAACATGGAACTGGAAAATTATCCTTTAGCCTGGAAGCGTTCTGTACTTGAATGAAGCCTTTCCTGATTTATCACCGATATGAGTTAAATAAGACAAATAGGTAAGATAATGAGTTAAATAACAGGATTCTGTAACTGCATTTGGAATTCACGCAACGGTACTCAAACAGGCAACACATTTATCATAGGGTTTTGAGAGCCTGCAGCACTGGCCAAATGCCAATGTCAGCCTAACTTTTGCCAGCAGTTTGAATGGAAATGGAATTTGGCCAACTGAGCAATCCTGAAAATCCTACTTTTTTTTTTCCTTTTTTAACTTTATAGCATTTAAACAGAAACAAGCAAAAACAAAAAAAAAAAACTGTTTATATTTTATCCAGATGAAGTTTTTACTTGAGTTCTTTGGATCTCTAGAATACACAGTATCAAACTGTCAGAAAATGTAAGCCATGAAAATAAATACTTACTATCCTTCAATTAACCATGTACATTTAGTTTTATATTTATAATTTATTGGTCCATCTGTTAAATATCCAGAAGGTTCTGTTAACCTACAAGAAAAAGAAACAGTGCTTTAATAAACCAGAGACCACACAACAGAAGACACATCATCAACATGCCATCAGATTCTTTCTAGACAGAAAGAAAACTGAAATATTTGAAGGGGGTAGGGATTGAAGAGTCAAGTCTCTCTTCATTTTTCTTTTCACACTATTTTTGCTCATAAAAACAAGAGTTATGGTTATTCTACATCACTGATTTACGTTCTTCTCCTAGGCAATCACAAGACTTCTAAATTTTCTAGTTCAGTAGCAAGCAAATACTATGTATAATTTAAATTATCCTTCACACAGAATGGATCTAAGCCAACATAAAGGGGTTTTTTCTTCAAGAGTATTTTGGTCTGGTTTGCTTGTTTCTTTTACTATTGCTTTACATCTTACTCTGAAATGAGACCATAGCAGCAGTGGGAAACTCTTCTAGATCAACAGAAATGAAGGCATAAATTATTAATTAAAATAAGCATACCTGCCAGCCTGACCCTCTCTTATTCCTGGTTAGTGATGAGATATGGGAAAGCAGAACCACACTGCACTATGCAGAAACTAAATAAAATGCATATGAACAGTTATGAAAGGTCAGACCAAAATGACAATGGTAGCCCAGCAGCCCGTCTCTGACAGTGCCCTGCAGCGGATACAGAATCACAGAACGGTTTGGGTTGGAAAGGACCTCAAAGCTCATCCAGTTCCAACCCCTGCCATGGCCAGAGATACCTTCCACTAGACCAGGTTGCTCCAAGCCCCATCCAGCCTGGCTTTGAATACTGCTGGTGATTGGGCAGCCACAGCTTCTTTGTCTCAAACTATTCTAATGTCTCAACACCCTCACACCAAAGAATAACCAATAAACACACAGTAAAGGACACCCAGGAAAGAATCTTTACCCCTACAGATACGCCCCACAGCATTATAGCACTTTCAGTGACTTGCAGCTCAGAGACTTTCTCAGCCAGAGGATGTTCCTTTCTATCAGTTTTGGGTTAACGCTTCTCCTAGGAGTTTGCCCATGCAAACTCAAACAGCAGCATCCAGACCATCCTCATTTCCATACACATGGAAATCATTTCCATACACATACGAAGACACATCTCAACTGTTTTTGTCCTGAGCCTACCTCTCCACAATTTCACCTGACATCCTTAGTCAGGTCTGGTATCAGATAAGCTGATGAACAGCAGTACCCAAATTCACAAAATGCAATGACCTGTGTTGTTTCCCATCTTTTTCTCCACTATCCCTTGAGAAATCCTTGCTCACTGCCTTCACTATTTCTTTGGCGTTTTCCTATACCCTGAGATGCAGAGATCAGCATACTGTATTCAAGATGCAAGTGAAACATGAATCTGTATAGTACCCAAATAATGATTTCCATTTTGCTCTCTATTCCAATCTTAACATTTTATTTGCACTTTCAACGACTACTGTTCTGACACTTCAAACACAACTAGCTGCTTTATCTTTTTTCTGAGTGATAATAGGTGGTTTACGATTCTTTACAGAAATTCATTTAACAGAAATAGAACCTTTTTCCTCCATTCATCTATATTACTTCACATTAATCTATACAGAGCAATAAAATCGCAGCTGAAATTCAATAATCTATTAACATAAAAGCTTTCTAAAAGAGTTTAGTATCTCCAGCACACTGTCACTTTGCTAATTTACCCCATTTTGTGCATCCTTCATGCCTATGTTCTATAGCTCAGGCCTTAAACACTCATCGCTGGTGGCCTTACTCCAATGGGAAAATTGACCATCCTGCTCTTTAAAATGCTACAACAATAACAACAAATAGAAATACATACTCAGAAAAACTCATTTATTCCAATGTACTGTGGAAAGATAATCATTAACAATAATTATCACTTATTGGGTTTTTCTGCTTTGCTTTCAGCTTTGTAGATCTGAATCAATAGACTAGATCTAAAACCCAGAGACCACACTGAACAAGCTGACCAAATCACAGCTAAGTTTTCCCACCAGGAGTCCAGCTGAAGAGGAATTCAGTATCTGCTGTCCTGGCTTCTTTGAAACTGTATACACAAAAAGTATTCAGTACTACATCTACTGCAAATTATTTACATTTCAACTCATATCAAACACTAACTGCGTATTTACTAACAGAGATCTGTAATTCTAAACATAAAACTATAAACATGCATATTTATTTCCTTTCCAAGGGAGTATGAAAAATTCTGAGACAAGTTTCATGCAAATTATCAGATTTTTAAGCAGTTCCTTCACTTCTCAGATGAGAACTTGCATCAGTTTCTTAGGCACATTGTAAGCCACTCTGCTGCAAATCACTGGTGGTTTGAAGATCTTTACACACACTTTCCTTGCAATGAAATGGAACTAAACTCTCTAATATCAAGAGCTGTTCCAATAACTGAAACATTGTCAAGGCATAAAAAGTATCAATAAAGTATTATATTTTTCTGCATAAAAAGAAGAAAAAGAGAACAGCTGGTAACACAAGCAACAGACAGAAAAATTTCAAATGGAACCCAACACACTGAGCTGGTCTGAACTCTGCAGTGCCCCACTCCCCAAAAGCAAGGGTTCCTGGGAAGCTCTACACAAATGCTGGTGTAGCTCAAAGCAAAGCAATGACTGATGAGAGGCACGGCTGGTAATTCACACTCCTCCCTGCTGTACACTGGAGAAGCCACAGCAAGAAGCTAATTATGCTCCTGCCTGGTGCTCTCATGTGAATCAGTGCCTGGCAACACAGTATTTTTGCTTGAAGTTCAGGAAAACACAGTTTATAATATTTCTTATTGCTGAGAAACATCAACTTAAAGTACATTTTCATGTTTACATACATGAGAAATAGGCTTTCCAGGGCTATTTCCGTCTTCTTTACATATTAATCATGTTGCTGGGACAATAATGAACATAGTATCAACATATATCTGGGAGGTCTAAGTTACACATCACTGATTTTGATACCAAGCTAATGATGCTTGGACCCTAGTAGAACCTCAGTAAAGCTGATTACAGGAGTGGATCCTATGCTAGTGTGTCCTAGACTGAAGTAATTTATTTATCAAGAAAAGGCAGTAACGTATAAAACTCCAATCAAAATAATCATCAGGTTACTATATGGTTTATATACAAAGTCTTACACAGCGAGCCAGAGAATATTTGTTTTGCTGTAATGAGTGTGAAATATCACCAGTACTCATTTGCAGTCATGACCATTGCCTTCTTAGCAGCTGTATAATGCAGTGGAGGTGACTTACAAGAGTTGTTTTTATTAGATCAGCACTTTGGCACTAGTAAAGTGCAAACAATTTCCCTTGTCACCTAGGCTGATAATTTTCTGATAAATAGATTGCTTCGGAAGAGTAGGTACCCTTTGAAGCATCTACTGCACTTTGATGAAAAAAAGTAAAGAATAAATAAGAGCACAACATTGCTTTGTAATAATGGTTATGGAAAACGGTAAGATAAAGGGGCTGTCCTATTTAGAATAAATTCACAGCAAGACAGGGTGGTATTACTGTAAATTACTTGAATCATACCAAGAAGTTTTCTATATCATTTTTCTTTCCAAACGTTATCAAATACCAAATCCCATAAATAACACATGGATCAACAGTACTACATTCACGTAACCGTTTACCAAATCAAGGACAATATTCTCTAGCATATAAAGTAAGTTCCTAGCAAGGGCATAGTTCTCCTCTGTGACTAACAGTGATCCTGCCAAAGAAACAAAAACCAGATGAGCGAACATTACGACACACTCCTTACAGAAGTGGAATAGCCAGAATGAAGCCTACATACTGCACCCCATTCCCTGCTCATTGCTGAGAGTGCTTCAAGGATAAGGAGACAGCCAGAACAATTTGTGCGGCTGCTTACACACCATAGGTTTATCACACCCAGACTCCAGCTTCCTAACCAGAATGCAAAGGACAGCAGCTGATGCTGTATATTGTCATTTTGTCATTTTAAATTGCATGTCAGTTTTCATAAACACCACGGTATTTTTTTAGTTGGCAGGGTTATAATCAAAGCCTATAAAGAATTAGAGGCATGCACCAAGAGAACATTTCCCTTCTCTGCATACTGTAAAATACATCTACCAAATTATAGACAGAAGGATGCTGCACAACAGAATTAAAGACATTCAGAAGCCTTTTTGACAGATTAGTCACCAAGCTAATCAGTCTGTAATAGACTATGTGAAGAATAGATGGCACTATAGGTGGTTTCATGTAGCAGACAGACGTACGAGGAACACAAGAGCTAAAGGCTCAAGTCAACACAGAGCAACTGTAACACACAAAGGAATATCTATATTCCCCTGGAATATTACTTCTGTTATAAAACTATGGCAAATATAATTGAGTTAGAATTTAAAGTGGTAACATTTACATTTATCACTGCAGAGACTTTAAATCAAGACTGATGCATTTCAAGGAAAGAGAAAAGTTATGTTCTAATTCAGTCAGAAATTATTGGTCCAAATGAAGCATGAAATCTAGGGCCTGCAATACATTAAGACGTCAGAGCAGGTTATTAAAATGGCCTTTCCTGGCTGTAATATTTATGTATCTGTGAAAAATGCAGTCATGTCATTTCCTGTATCTTCTAGCAAAAGAATATCGTCATCAAATATTTTAAGAAGGGGCACTAATTTAAACCAGAGAAGCCATTGGGTATTTTCCTTCATCAGCAAAGATCTGCTAGTAGATGGACAGAGGTCTGATTTATAATACAGGTACCTAGGAGAAACAAAGAATAAAGCACATTCATAACATCACAAATATTCATTGTGAAATAAAAGCAGCATTTATGAAGAGGTTCATTTTTTCTCTGTATTACTTAGTGTCACATTTAAGAATTTTATTAAGTGCTTGATGGTTCAGCAATTCCTACTTCAGACAGATCTGAATGTAGGAATCAGAGCATATTTTGCTATGTGGATTTATCTCAGTATCAGTAGTTTTGTGTCAGTCAAGGATTATACTTCCCAT